ACAACAAACGCCCACACAAAACCAAATATAATGTAAAGGAGCACACCCCACACACACACAAACACACACACTCACGAGCAGCTGTATCTAAATCATGATGGGCGTGCGGTTCGGGTGTGTATCTCTGCGTTCCTGGTTTTGTCAGGCTGTCATCAGGAAATGACGGCATTACGGCATTTACAGTTAATGCCTGAAATGTCCTCGAGGATTGGCGCGCACACAGTCAACGCCCTTCGAACCAGCCATACGGCTTTTGCCCATTTCATTTCATACATTTTTGCATTTTATTTGATTTTATTAGATGTGCGGCGATTTTGGGTCTGCCGCCGGGGATTTTCTCTTCTTCCCTTTGCAATTTGTGAAATCGCTTTTTCGCCCCTTCTAACAATAAGAAACAAACTACGATTGTGACACGCAAAGTGAAAATGTGTATGCTAAATAGAGCATTTTTTTTCATTTTAAGCAAATGTGAGCGAAAGTAGAAAGGTCTGCGATTGACTTAGTTTTGACCCATAAAGAAAAGCAAGGGTTTATAATACAGAGTGACCTTTTTTTTACTCCCTCTCGCTCTCTCTCTCTCTCCTTCTTTCGCTTTATCCTACTTTTGCTCTTGCGCAACTTGTGACTTTCTAACGCTTTACTTTTATTACGCCCTTCTATGCAATTCTCACCAATTCAAGTCATGCTAACAGATTTTGCTTACTTTGCAGATGTGTTTATTTATTTGTGTTATTGGCTTACACGTTTAGGTAAATATTATTGTCGAGCTTGCTCGACTAGAGCAATGCCAATTCTTGGTCTTTATTCAATTATAGCATCATTTTCTGATTATGTCGAAACCCCGTGAATTAAGCATTATTTCTGGTCGACATGACCAGCTATAACTCACCACAATGCAGCACATGATATGAGTTTGATGTCATGCATATGCGTTGCCGCCTTTCAGGCGCATTCAAAGCCACAATTTCCAATTAAGTATTCATTTCGTTTTGTCAACTCGAACTGTGGAAATTCAACTACAACAGCAGCAACTCGAGTGTGGCATCAAAGCATGCTCGACAAAGCTAGAAATTTACAATTTCATGTCACACACACACACACGTGGACTCACTGACACACATACGCAAAGTATGTCGCATTCGGATAACTGGCAACTGCCACTCCCCCCTCCCCCTCCCCCTCCCCGCAACTGGGCATGACAACTACAAATGAAATATTCATATTTTCGGTTTTCAACTTTGACCTCTTGCTGCTCCCCCTAAAAATACCGAATTGAATGGAGTACACACACATATATATATATATATATATTTTTACCATGTTAAAGCGCCACCTGTCGGCCGTTGGCAGCGCATGCAACGGCCTCAATTACTATTGAGGTGTTGTGAAAAATGGCAGCCACAAAACACCTGACGGAAATTATAGCGGCCCGTAACTCTATCAATCAAAATGGGTGGGGTTGGGCGAGGGGGTGGGGAAAGGAAAAGCTGAAAATGTTTTGTTGAAGTACCGAAGTTTTCTAACTTAACTAAATTTTAGCTTCGATCTTTAAACGCGGCGTCATAAAATCAATTTCGTGCCTGGGAATAGATATAAAACTGGAACTTAAAGTGTCAAAGCTTAAATTCTCTAAGAAGAACTAACCTTTGTTGTCCCTGATTTCTGTCTACTGTCTTTGCGGAGGTTCAAACCCCAAACTTCGCACGAAGCAATCAATTGCGTGCCTGGGAATACATTCGACAGCTTTTGTGTGAAGAAAACAACTGAAAAAATGAATAATTTAAATTATTATTGTTAACACAAATTCAAATATAATTTCCTTTAAATTAATGATTAATTATTTATTTAAACTAATTGTTAATTTAAATGGTTTATTTTTGCATTCTATGAATATTAAATCAAATATTCATGTAATTCACAATGTTAATTTTTACTGGACTTGAACTGGCGACCTGTCGCTGCTTTGATGTACTTCTACGCGTTACACATTTTGTAATGTAGATTTGTAAGAGATAAAAGATAAAATTAGCAAGATAACCTTTGCAAGGGTATACAAATGGAATTTTGTATCAATTGTTTGCACATTCGACATATTCTACATATATATGCTTACATTTGTTTATGTGTCGATCTGCGATATTTGACAAACATTCAGGTCACAGACATGCCGGTCTTGTCTTGCGCCTCATCTGTTTTACCTCGTGCAGGTGATAAAAATAATTTCGCCAAACATTTTATGGCAATAAAATGCCACGATTCATTGACCGTATTAAGACTGTCGCCGCATTTAATGTGTGTGTGTGTGTGTGCATATGTGTGTGCCTGTGTGTGTTCTTGTGCTTTGGCCTTTAATACCCCTCGTTGACCCCTGCAGACGCCTTTGTTGCTGCTGCTGCTGCGGCTCGAACTGATGCTGGAGGGGTTCATGAACTCGCCAAAATGAAAAGTTTGAATTTGATGCGCCACGCAAAATGTGCATAAAGTTTGTTTTTATTGGGTTTGTTGTTGTTTCTTCGGTTGTTTAAAGCGCGACGCGTTGCTTTTAACAACTCGACAGGACAAGGACCGGACAGGACAATAAACACAGACTCCGACGTCGTTGTCCTGGCAACACAATTTGATGTGCTTGGCCAGAAGTGAAAGCCAATAGAATTTGCAAGCCATGTCAATATTTGACTCTCTGCGATTTCCATTTCACAGATAACATTTTTATGGCGCCTTTGTTGTCTCTCTGGGTTTTATAAGCTTCTCTCTCTCTCTCTCTCTCTCTCTCTCTCTCTCTCTCTCTCTCTCTCTCTCTCTCTCTCTCTCTCTCTCTCTCTCTCTCTCTTTCTTTCTGTTTCTCAGAAATAGGTATGTAGATAGTTTGAAATCAAGTAAGAGATTTCCAAAGCGTGGACTTAGACTAGCTGCAGGGTATCTACCAGTCGAGCACTCCCGACACTCCTGTTTTAAATGTGGCACACTTTAAGCAGCACTTTAATAATTGACAGCAATAGATAACTTGAGCTAATGCCAGGATATTAGTTAATGCCGCAAATGCAGCCTGCCAACTGGCAGCACAATTTCATAGCAGCTGCGCACACACACACACAAACACACACACACTTACACAGACACACATAAATATCCTGCCAACAAATGCGCAACAATAACAATTTAATTTTAGGGGCAAGTGCTGCAACAATTTGTGCAACAAAGCAGCCGTTTGTGTGCTCGGTTGTGGTTGTTGCCAGCCTTGGCCTCGCAATCACTCATACACACTTACACACACATACACAAATACACACAAACACACACACGCACACACTAGACCATAATTATCCAATTGAACAATAAACAGATGCCCGCCAGGCCTTCAGTCAATAGACAATGTGCACTCCCGTTCCAGTTTTTATTCAGGCAGGCAATTGTTATGCCCATTGAAAGTGATTGAATGGGAGGGTATATTGTGGCTGGGCGAATGTATGTAACAGGCAGATAATGTATATATATTATTGGTCTAAGTTAGTTCTCAAATATAAGATAGTAGCTATTGCCCGGCCTTGCCCGTGGAAAGTTTTGTGCTACAAATTTTAGATATTACTTTTCCACTAATTACACGCCCGTGGAAAATGAAAAACTACCCATATTAATCTACAGTTATATTTAAAAATATGTTTTAATTGCGTCGACTAAAAAACCAAATGTTGGAATCAACGGATTGCGATGAGAAGCCTTGAAGCTGAAGAATAAACTATCATTTATTAAACCTTCAGCCCGCATTTTCCATCCAAGAACTTGGAAATGAGCCGATTGGATGGTAAACAAAAAAGTTTCATGCAAACGTTTTTCGCGATTTTTCCACACATGCGGGTCGAATTTCCCGAAAACCCGACTCAAAGTGAAAACACCCTTGGGCGGACAGCGAATGTCGGGTAGCTTCTGTCCACTTAAGGAAATATCCTTCCAATAGAGAGGAAAATGGAAATGGCTTGATAGAAAATGTGCGCCTAGCATACGTGTCCATCAGGAGAGTTTTTACTGTATCAACACATCGGAAAATCATTTAATGGGGATTGGGGACACACAATTTTGAAGATGCTGGGTATCTCCCAGTCAGACAGCCTCAACTAGGTCGTGTTTGCTTGCGGTTGTTGCAGTTGCCCTTCCGATGCCAACAACAGCAACTGTCGCGTGGGCTCTGGTCAACCTGCAGCTGCTGCTGCCTCTGCTGGTGCAGGTCGTTCCGAGCTGCCAAGTCAAGTGAAATGATGTGCCAAAAACGTTTATCTAGAGAACGGAGCGGAGGGCAAAGCTGGAGGCAGCAGCACCAGGACAACGCAGGACAGGCTTGGGTCACTGACTTGACTTGCCCTTTGGATAGGTGTGTGTGTGTGTGTGTGTGTGGCGGTGTGTGAGTGGCTTGGTTGTGCGTTTGTGAAATGCTCTTTTAATGAATATTTATAGCAGAGTCCTAGCTAATTTTTCTTTTTTGGTTTTGTTTACATTTTGTTGTGTTGCAGGTGGAGCAGGCTTGAACAATGTGCAGACAGTTGCTGGCTGAGCACGCTGGCAGGACAACAAACGCAAGGATAATCAACGGCAACAACGCACAACAACAACAGGAACAACAACAACAACAAGAAGAAGAGGAACAACATTAGCAACAGAGGAAACAACAACTTTTTTACATAAACAAAATGAATTTTTGAAAACGCTTAAAAGCAAAACAAGGCAATGCCCTCCATGCAACTCTTGATGCAAGCAGCTTAAAAGGACACTTCATACACACACACACACACACACACACACGCTCACACACGCTCACACACACACACTCACTCCCACACTACTTGACTGATAGCTTAAACTACAAAATACAACAAAAAGGCAGCAGCAGCAGCAGCGCAGCAAACAAAACGTTTTTAATTTGTATTAAGTAAATATTGCAACTCGTGATATGCCAAATATGCGTTGCCGCTGCAGCTGCTGCTAATTTCAAGTCGCAACAACAACAACAACAACAACTGGAGCAACAACAACAACAGCAACAACTACCCTGCACATTTAGCTGCCACAGTCAGCTGCAAACATGGGCAACAAATGCTGCAGCAAGCGTCAGGATCAGGAGCTGGCGCTGGCCTATCCGACGGGCGGCTACAAGAAATCCGACTACACCTTCGGCCAGACGCACATAAATAGCAACAGCAGCGTCGGCGCCGGCGTTGTTGCCGCACTCGGCCAGAAGCACAACAATGGCGGCTCATTGGACTCCAGATATACGCCCGATCCGAATCGGGGACCGCTCAAAATTGGCGCCAAGGGCGGCGTGGACATCATACGAACGCGCACCACGCCAAGTAAGTGTAAAATTGGTAATGATAATGGGAGACTCACGAAACGCAAGCAGGAGCTGGCAGAAAGAACTGTGCCAGTAGCTTCTAATAAGAGCAAGAGCTGCTTGACATGTCTGACGAAGCAGAGACGCAGACCTGCTGAAGAAGCTCTGGTCTCAGCTGGGGAGACTAAGGCTAAGGGTCAAGCAGAACCACAATTTAACTCTCAAATTGTCAATCGTTATCGGAGAGCGATAATCGATTATGATAAATTAATCGGGTTGTGCAAAACACGATAGTCAAATTTGTGGTGTAATCCTTAACGGCCTATCTGAGCGTAGTTTAACTCCTTCCCTCCTTCCTGTTACTTGCTCCCATCCCAAGAAATGGCTCGACACTTCTTTACGTCTTCTCTGTATCTGGAGGAGAAGCGTATTTCGTGTGGCTGAAACTCCTTGAGGGATTTTAAGTTTTCTCATTAAATATGAAACCAAGAAGGAGACACGTGCAAATGTTATGCCAGAAGAACAGACTGCATCTGTTTGGGCGTTAATATATTGCTTATATACAATATATATTTCCCCCTCTACCCCTTGAAACTGACTTTTTTGATGACTCAGCTAACTATGCTAAACTATATTGCCCATTCAATATGTAGATTCTTTTTGTTTGTGTCAAGTGCCGACTGAGCTGTAATTATGCAATTTGCCGTTCACCTGTCAACTGGAGCTACACACACACGCACACACACACATGCATAAGCAGAGGGCCCCAACAGGCAGTTGGTCAAGGTTAATTCGACTGTCACACAAGCACGGCAAATATGAAACTCAGAATGACCTTCTGCGCGCCGTCTGAACCCGCAACTCCACCTTCCAATCAACTGCCACCAGAGACGCAAACTTTAATTATGTGAAACCGACTGCGTGTGTGTGTGTTATAACTTTTATATAAATAGCAACTAGCATTTGGCCAAAGGTTAAAGCCAACCTGACACTGGCAGCAAAACAAAGTCAAATAGCTAATTAAAACGGCAAGGTCCCAGAGACCACCAGAGAGCTGCACACCCTGCAACCCCGCAGGCAAACAAATTACGCATGTAGATGTACTCTAGCACAACAGGGTAACGAGATGAAGCTTAGGCAACGAAGTAGACGTCGAGTTCGCTGGAGCCGATTCAGGGTCCTGTCCTAGTTGGACTCTTAGGAATCTTTACGATTCTACTAATTGCAGAAGGAATCGGACAGCCTCTGGTGTTCTATTAAGGGGAGACAAAATAAAGTGCTTATTGATAGTTTTTGATACCCTTGCAGGGGTTATTATAATTTTGTCTCCAAATGTGTAACGCACAGAACGAGACATTTCCGACCCTATAAAGTGTATATATTTTAGATCAGCCGAGTTAATATATACATGTCTGTCTGCACGTCTGCCTGTCCGTCCGTCTGTCCGTCCGTCCATCCGTCTGTCCTTCCGTTCGTCCGTCTGGTATTAAATCTTTGGCGTACCGAAAGATAGCTCGTCTTTCTCATTAACCTTTATAGGTTTTATAGTAGAGCTTATCGCAGCAACTGTTGGTCGTTTACATGACAAGGCGCCACACAATTAAATATTAATTAGCAGAGGGGCATTTAATGAGTATTTAAAGAAGAAAAATTCGTTAAACATAGATGAAGTCTAGCGAGCAGGATCTTGTTCCCCTTATAGCTTTTATCCTTATAAGCGAGCAATTTTGACAACTATTCCAGCCTGCAAGAGGCTATGAGATATGAACTCTGACGAATGTCTGGGCATGAACAGAAATTTACCTTGGTTAAGCTCAAAACTGTGAAGGATGACACGTGCAGACTTTGCCTTAAGAGCAAAGAAAAAGTGCAGAGCAGATTCCTAAAGGATTGTTGAGCTATAAAAAGACAAGCTAAAATGGGAAAGAGAGGGGGAGAGCTCGACAAGCAATCTGTTTAGCATAAAGTTAATATTCCAGGGCGAGCCACAAAGGCAGCAGCTAAAAGTGCACTCGGCTCTGCCAATTAAAACCGTGTTCAAGAAAATTCTTGAAAGATTTTGACTGCCACATTTCAAGCCATGTTCAAGCTGATGGCAAAGGCGGGGTGGGCCGGGGCCTGGGGTTTGCGGGTTTCTTGTTCAGCAATGACTGCGCCTAATCGCCGCTTGATTAGCTCGGGTATTTAGCATTGCATTGCATTGTGTGTGTGTGTGTGTGTGTCTATGCGTCTATGCGTCCAGATTGAGTTGAGGCAAAGCGGCTTAGGTCGTGTAAACCCGTCAAATGCGTTGACAAAGGCTGAAAGCTTGGACCGAGATTTGTGCGTTCTACGTGTGTCAGCACTTATGCCCCAAATGCAGGGCAAGGCAACAAAAATAACAGAAATAGAAATGGAAACAACAAATCAAATGCAAGGCATGCCAAGTTGTCCGTGTGGGCTAAATCAATTAGCCAAATGCAAATTCAGTGCCAAAATGTTGTGGCGGGAGGGACAACAAAAGAAACAAGTAAGAGTACGCCAGACGGAAGTGCCTGACTAGGAGATCGTCGAAGCCAGATTCAAGTAAGCCAGGATTGAGCTTGATTTGCCGGGAGAATAGGAAGAGCCCGACATACCCCCTGGCTATGGGCTCAGAAGTTATCCAGGATTGAAACTTGATCTGCGCGGAGGAATAAGAAGAGCTCTACATCTTTTAGTTCCTATAAGGACAGCCAGACAGACGACCTGGCTAGCTCTCTATGAGCTCAGAAGTTATCCAGGATTGAAAGTCGATCTGCGCGGGGGAATAGGAAGAGCTCTAAATCTTTTAGTTCCTATAAGGACAGCCAGACAGACGGCCTGGGTAGCTCGCTTTGAGGTCGGAAACACTTGCTTCAACATTCACAAAAAACGGTATCCAAATAGAATTGTGGCTTGGCTTGCAAATGCAATTGTTTTTTTGTTTTGTCGCACATCCTTGGAAGATGCGCCAAAATGTATGCTAATCAATTTCGCAATTTACCTGCCAGACTCCACCCACCTGACCCTGGCCGCAGCTCATTAACTGGCAATTAGATTTTAAATTGATGCTAAAATTTGTCGCCCATAAATTTTGCAATTTATGCCATGACACGGATCGCTGCCCTGCAAATCAAATTTACAGCCAGACGAGAATTGCCTGCCTGCAGCTGTCGCTCTCCCTCTCTCTCTGTCTCACACTCTCTATTGATGTCTCATTCTATTAGCAGCCGGCGTGCCTGGTGGCCTGCCGAAACGACGCGTCGTTGTCGCTCTCTACGATTACAAATCGCGCGATGAATCCGACTTGAGCTTTACAAAGGGCGACCGCATGGAGGTCGTCGATGACACCGAATCGGATTGGTGGCGCGTCGTTAATCTGACCACGCGCCAGCAGGGCCTGATACCGCTCAACTTTGTCGCCGAGGAGCGCAGCGTCAACAGCGAGGAGTAAGTCGTGTGTCTATATCAACTATTGACTGTCATTTGTTAATCGTGCCACCTTCGCCTGCAGCTGGTTCTTTGAGAATGTGCTACGTAAGGAGGCGGACAAGCTGCTGCTGGCCGAGGAGAATCCGCGCGGCACATTTCTGGTGCGCCCCTCGGAGCATAATCCCAATGGCTATTCGCTGTCCGTCAAGGACTGGGAGGACGGACGCGGTTATCATGTGAAGCACTATCGCATCAAGCCTCTGGACAATGGCGGCTTCTACATAGCCACAAATCAAACTTTTGCCTCGCTTCAGGCCCTCGTCATGGCCTACAGCAGTGAGTATTGGACATCATTTCGGGACGGGCAGCTCTCTTCAAATCGTAAACTCTATTGCAGAAAACGCGCTCGGCCTGTGTCACATACTGTCGCGTCCCTGCCCCAAACCGCAGCCACAGATGTGGGATCTTGGCCCGGAGCTGCGCGACAAATATGAAATACCACGCTCTGAGATTCAGCTGCTGCGCAAACTGGGACGCGGCAACTTCGGTGAGGTGTTCTACGGCAAGTGGCGCAACAGCATCGATGTGGCGGTCAAAACGCTGCGCGAGGGCACAATGTCGACGGCTGCGTTCCTCCAGGAGGCGGCCATCATGAAGAAGTTTCGACACAATCGCCTCGTGGCACTTTATGCCGTCTGCTCGCAGGTCAGTCGGGAGTGTGTTTTGCCCAGCAGCAAAAGTTCAGCTAAATCCTTTCCATTCATTCATGCAGGAGGAGCCCATTTATATTGTGCAGGAGTACATGTCGAATGGCAGCCTTTTGGACTTTTTGCGCGAAGGCGAGGGACGTTATCTGCACTTCGAGGATCTCATCTATATTGCCACACAGGTGGCCAGCGGCATGGAGTATCTGGAGTCCAAGCAGCTCATCCATCGCGATTTGGCGGCGCGCAATGTGCTCATCGGCGAGAATAATGTGGCAAAGATTTGTGATTTCGGTTTGGCGCGCGTCATTGCCGACGATGAGTATTGTCCCAAGCAGGGTTCTCGGTTCCCCGTCAAATGGACAGCGCCCGAGGCCATCATCTATGGCAAGTTTAGCATCAAGTCGGATGTCTGGTCATATGGCATATTGCTGATGGAGCTTTTTACGTACGGACAAGTGCCCTATCCGGGCATGCATAGTCGGGAGGTGATTGAGAATATCGAGCGCGGTTTTCGCATGCCAAAGCCAACGATTCATTATTTCCCCGACAATATCTATCATCTGCTGCTACAATGCTGGGATGCAGTGCCCGAGAAGCGGCCCACATTTGAGTTCTTAAATCATTACTTTGAGTCGTTCTCGGTGACGTCGGAGGTGCCGTATCGGGAGGTTCAGGATTAAGCGGCAGCGGAGGAGTCGTCACAATACCCACACACACAATACAAAACACAACACAACACAACACATCTATAAATATATATATTTATAACGTTATCTATATGTAACGTAAACATTTATACATATTTACTATAATTCTTAAGACTTTTAAATGGCAAGGCATACAACAACAGCAACAACAAGTATAACATTAACATAAACATAAACTCTATATATGTATATGTGTATAAGCGTATATATATATATATATATATCTAATGAAATTGATGATGATGAAAATGCAACATTTTATATTTTACACGCGAAAACTATTTTATAATTTATATACCTACTTGTATGTACTATTGAAATAGCAAGTATTTAACTAGTTTTGTAAGCTTACCAAAAAGTAAAAAAACAAAAAAGCGAAAACCCAATAAGAACATGAAACAAAACGTTTATGTAACGCATATGGCAATTTTCTAAGCGAACTTTACAAAAAGAAAAAAAAACAAACAATTTAAATGCTACTTTAATCGATTCGCATCCATTTATCTATCCCAATTTTCTCTCTTAACTCTTAATGATTCCTGCTGAATTTTTGTCCTCTAAAACCGAAAGCAAAACAAAAAAAAGAACCCCAAGTATTATTTAACACAATCAATATGTGCAGCTGATATGTTTCAGCTCAATAAATAAATTGCAATGATGGCATTTAACTTATGAAGGGCGTCAACCGATGCGCCGCCGAGTCGCCCGATTACTTCCATATGTCACATCGAATACGTTAACAATATATCAGAAAAAAAAAAACAAAAACAAAACAAAAAATGATTATAAATTCTTTTGCTGCTGCTTCTACGAGTAGTTGAGGCTAAATAACAAAAAACTCCCATTAATTATAGAACAATAGAAAATCTACATTTTGTCAAACATTCTGTACAAAAAAAAAACAAATATTCACCTTTCGTACACGCTTGTTTAGTTTGTTCTTTAGCAATTAAACCAATAATTGTTTATAGTTCATTTAAGTTTAGGCCAAAATTCGAAGAGTTTTCATTTTGTATATTTAAGCAATGTCCAAAACAATGTTAGAAAATGCACCTTCAGTTGGGCACAGTCCACACACATATACATATATATATATATAAATATATCTAGCCTTATACTTCGCATTGCCAGCTCACAATTTAGTTCCTCTCCAGATCCGCTATATGTTGTACTCGAATTTAAGAACCCAAGTCAAAAAGCCATGCACTGCAGTCTCAAGGGTTTCAAATAATCTATATATATATATATATCATATATGATAGCAACAGGAATTCTTATCAATCAAGCAAAAGGGGGCACATACATCAAATAGTACTATATACACACCATCAAATCTAACTTAGCCGTTGGCCCACAAAAACAAATGTTTATTTTTCTGTTTCTTCTCTTTTTCTATAATTTATTTTTTTTATTATTTTTGTTATAGTCATAAGTTTCTTAAATGTTTAATTCATGTGTTGGCCATTGTGTGCACATTTGTAGCATAAAACCAAAGTTTAGCATTTCGTATTAAAGAATATATCTATATATATATGTATTTGTAAAGAACAACATTTATGCGGCAACTTAATGCATTTCACACACACACACACACACACACACACACACACACACACACACACATACACATAGAGAATATAAGGCAGCTTAAATTAAAGTGTAGCAAGAAATCATTGTATGAAATTGCATTCAACGTAAATTACAATTTAAACGAAACTAAATCATTACGATAAACAACAAAAACAGCAAATAAATAAAAAATCATATTGTTATAATTAAAAAAGGCAAACACTGGAAATTGTTTAGCGTAGTTGATGAATTTTTGTATATATACTTGACATAACGTGTAGCAATAAATGAAATTGAATTGAATTAAACTAAAACTAACACTAAAACAAATATAATAAAATAGATAACAATAGAAATAACAATAGCAGCAGCAGCAACAACAACTAACGGCCTTTGTGGCACGCTAATCGGCAACAACAACAACAACAAACAATTTTTTATACAACACGGCAATCAAATGGACAGATTTCTAAAATTTTCCAGCTCTCAGCCTTTTAGGGGGCGTGCCGCCGTTGCCGTCGTGTTTGTTGCTCTCAATATAAAACCCAAACACTGTCGTATGTTTAATTATAGACATAACAAATTATAAATATTGAATAATACAGATAAACATTTGCATAATACTGAAATCGAGTCGCGATGCTCGTCTATAATAATGCAAACTGAATTTAGCTGATGTATAACGAGAATCTGTCGGTTCGGCGTGTATTGCATTCAAGTAAATCAATAAAATGAAAAATTATGTAATAAAAAAAATCCTACATTCATTTCAATTGTCAGCTATCAATTAGATTATTATTTAAATATTTTATTTATTGTTTTATTATATTTACTTAAGCAATTTATTAGCCTTCTTATGTTCATAGCCTAGAAAATAAGCTCGAATAATAATTGCATAGCTTTATTCCAATCGTATTCAAATACCTAAGTTTATATTTCGTGTGCTGCATTTCTGTCCAAGATTGTCTTTAAACCATAGACAATATTGCCAAGAATTATGCGGAGATAAATACATTTTTAGGAATAGTAGACTTACCAACTACTTTTTTTTTTTAAATTAGCACCAAATCAATAAGACTAGATATGCCTATGACTGCTCTATTATAGCATTCGTCGACAATCGCCTAGGCTAAATACCTAAGGAATGCCAAATCAAAATATTACGTATATAGACATGGGTCAAAATTTCCCTACCCCATAACTTGGCCAAATCTCAGCCGATTTTTACGAGGTTGGGCTTTTTGTTCATGGTTTTCCCTCTAGATTAATCTGGCATTCAAATCGGAACACCGATTTTTTAGTCGAAATTCATGTCCAAATCTTACCCCAAGGTTCGTACATCGACATGGGTCAAAATGTCCCTACCCCATAAATCGGTCAAATCTCATCCGATTTTGACGAGGTTGGGGTTTTTGTTCATGGTTTTCCCTCTAGATTAATCTGGCATTCAAATCTGAACACCGATTTTTTAGTCGAAATTCATGTCCAAATCTTACCCCCTGATTCTTATATAGACATGGGTCAAAATTTCCCTACCCCATAACTTGGCCAAATCTCATCCGATTTTTACGAGGTTGGGCTTTTTGTTCATGGTTTTCCCTCTAGATTAATCTGGCATTCAAATCCGAACATCGATTTTTTAGTCGAAATTCATGTCCAAATCTTACCCCCTGATTCTTATATAGACATAGGTCAAAATTTCCCTACCCCATAACTTGGCCAAATCTCATCCGATTTTGATAAGGTTGGTCTTTTTGTTCATGGTTTTCCCTCTAGATTAATCTGGCATTCAAACCTGACAACCGATTTTTTAGTCGAAATTCATGTCCAAATCTTACCCCCAATATTCGTACATCGACATGGGTCAAAATTTCCCTACCCCATAACTTGGTCAAATCTCATCCGATTTTGACGAGGTTGGGCTTTTTGTTCATGGTTTTCCCTCTAGATTAACCTGGCATTCAAATCTGAACACCGATTTTTTAGTCGAAATTCATGTCCAAATCTTACCCCCAATATTCGTACATCGACATGGGTCAAAATGTCCCTACCCCATAAATCGGTCAAATCTCATCCGATTTTCACGAGGTTTGCCTTTTTCTTCATAGTTTTCCCTCTAGATTAATCTGGCATTCAAATCGGAACACCGATTTTTTAGTCGAAATTCATGTCCAAATCTTACCCCAAGGTTCGTACATCGACATGGGTCAAAATTTCCCTACCCCATAACTTGGCCAAATCTCATCCGATTTTGATAAGGTTGGTATTTTTGTTCATGGTTTTCCCTCTAGATTAATCTGGCATTCAAACCTGAGAACCGATTTTTTAGTCGAAATGCATGTCCAAATCTTACCCCCGATATTCGTACATCGACATGGGTCAAAATTTCCCTACCCCATAACTTGGCCAAATCTCATCCGATTTTTACGAGGTTGGTATTTTTATTCATGGTTTTCCCTCTAGATTAAACTGGCATTCAAACCTGACAACCGATTTTTTAGTCGAAATTCATGTCCAAATCTTACCCCCAATATTCGTACATCGACATGGGTAAAAATTTCCCTACCCCATAACTTGGTCAAATCTCATCCGATTTTGACGAGGTTGGGCTTTTTGTTCATGGTTTTCCCTCTAGATTAATCTGGCATTCAAATCTGAACACCGATTTTTTAGTCGAAATTCATGTCCAAATCTTACCCCCAATATTCGTACATCGACATGGGTCAAAATGTCCCTACCCCATAAATGGGTCAAATCTCATCCGATTTTCACGAGGTTTGCCTTTTTCTTCATAGTTTTCCCTCTAGATTAATCTGGCATTCAAATCGGAACACCGATTTTTTAGTCGAAATTCATGTCCAAATCCTACCCCATAACTTGGCCAAATCTCAACCGATTTTGATAAGGTTGGGCTTTTTGTTCATGGTTTTCCCTCTAGATTAATCTGGCATTCAAATCGGAACATCGATTTTTTAGTCGAAATTCATGTCCAAATCTTACCCCAAGGTTCGTACATCGACATGGGTCAAAATGTCCCTACGCCATAGCTTGGTCAAATCTCATCCGATTTTTACGAGGTTGGTATTTTTATTCATGGTTTTCCCTCTAGATTAATCTGGCATTCAAATCGGAACATCGATTTTTTAGTCGAAATTCATGTCCAAATCTTACCCCCTGATTCTTATATAGACATGGGTCAAAATTTCCCTACCCCATAACTTGGCCAAATCTCAACCGATTTTGATAAGGTTGGGCTTTTTGTTCATGGTTTTCCCTCTAGATTAATCTGGCATTCAAATCGGAACATCGATTTTTTAGTCGAAATTCATGTCCACATCTTACCCCAAGGTTCGTACATCGACATGGGTCAAAATGTCCCTACGCCATAGCTTGGTCAAATCTCATCCGATTTTTACGAGGTTGGTATTTTTATTCATGGTTTTCCCTCTAGATTAAACTGGCATTCAAATCTGAACACCGATTTTTTAGTCGAAATTCATGTCCCAAGGTTCGTACATCGACATGGGTCAAAATTTCCCTACCCCATAACTTGGCCAAATCTCATCCGATTTTGATAAGGTTGGGCTTTTTGTTCATGGTTTTCCCTCTAGATTAATCTGGCATTCAAATCGGAACATCGATTTTTTAGTCAAAATTCATGTCAAAATTAAGGGGGTAAGCCCCTGATTCTTATATAGACATTGGTCAAAGTTTCCCTACTCCATAACTTGGGCAAATCTCATCCGATTTTGATAAGATTGGTCTTTTTGTTCATGGTTTTCCCTCTAGATTAATCTGGCATTCAAACCTGACAACCGATTTTTTAGTCGAAATTCATGTCCAAATCTTACCCCCTGATTCTTATATAGACATAGGTCAAAATTTCCCTACCCCATAACTTGGCCAAATCTCATCCGATTTTGATAAGGTTGGTCTTTTTGTTCATGGTTTTCCCTCTAGATTAATCTGGCATTCAAATCTGAACACCGATTTTTTAGTCGAAATTCATGTCCAAATTTTACCCCCAATATTCGTACATCGACATGGGTCAAAATTTCCCTACCCCATAACTTGGCCAAATCTCATCCGATTTTGACGAGGTTGGGCTTTTTGTTCATGGTTTTCCCTCTAGATTAATCTGGCATTCAAATCCGAACATCGATTTTTTAGTCGAAATTCATGTCCAAATCTTACCCCCTGATTCTTATATAGACATAGGTCAAAATTTCCCTACCCCATAACTTGGCCAAATCTCATCCGATTTTGATAAGGTTAGTCTTTTTGTTCATGGTTTTCCCTCTAGATTAATCTGGCATTCAAACCTGATAACCGATTTTTTAGTCGAAATTCATGTCCAAATCTTACCCCCAATATTCGTACATCGACATGGGTCAAAATTTCCCTACCCCATAACTTGGTCAAATCTCATCCGATTTTGACGAGGTTGGGCTTTTTGTTCATGGTTTTCCCTCTAGATTAATCTGGCATTCAAATCTGAACACCGATTTTTTAGTCGAAATTCATGTCCAAATCTTACCCCAAGGTTCGTACATCGACATGGGTCAAAATTTCCCTACCCCATAACTTGGCCAAATCTCATCCGATTTTGATAAGGTTGGGCTTTTTGTTCATGGTTTTCCCTCTAGATTAATCTGGCATTCAAATCGGAACATCGATTTTTTAGTCGAAATTCATGTCCAAATCTTACCCCAAGGTTCGTACATCGACATGGGTCAAAATGTCCCTACGCCATAGCTTGGTCAAATCTCATCCGATTTTTACGAGGTTGGTATTTTTATTCATGGTTTTCCCTCTAGATTAAACTGGCATTCAAATCTGAACACCGATTTTTTAGTCGAAATTCATGTCCAAATCTTACCCCAAGGTTCGTACATCGACATGGGTCAAAATTTCCCTACCCCATAACTTGGGCACATCTCATCCGATTTTGATAAGGTTGGTCTTTTTGTTCATGGTTTTCCCTCTAGATTAATCTGGCATTCAAATCTGAACACCGATTTTTTAGTCGAAATTCATGTCCAAATTTTACCCCCAATATTCGTACATCGACATGGGTCAAAATTTCCCTACCCCATAACTTGGCCAAATCTCATCCGATTTTGACGAGGTTGGGCTTTTTGTTCATGGTTTTCCCTCTAGATTAATCTGGCATTCAAATCCGAACATCGATTTTTTAGTCGAAATTCATGTCCAAATCTTACCCCCTGATTCTTATATAGACATAGGTCAAAATTTCCCTACCCCATAACTTGGCCAAATCTCATCCGATTTTGATAAGGTTAGTCTTTTTGTTCATGGTTTTCCCTCTAGATTAATCTGGCATTCAAACCTGATAACCGATTTTTTAGTCGAAATTCATGTCCAAATCTTACCCCCAATATTCGTACATCGACATGGGTCAAAATTTCCCTACCCCATAACTTGGTCAAATCTCATCCGATTTTGACGAGGTTGGGCTTTTTGTTCATGGTTTTCCCTCTAGATTAATCTGGCATTCAAATCTGAACACCGATTTTTTAGTCGAAATTCATGTCCAAATCTTACCCCAAGGTTCGTACATCGACATGGGTCAAAATTTCCCTACCCCATAACTTGGCCAAATCTCATCCGATTTTGATAAGGTTGGGCTTTTTGTTCATGGTTTTCCCTCTAGATTAATCTGGCATTCAAATCGGAACATCGATTTTTTAGTCGAAATTCATGTCCAAATCTTACCCCAAGGTTCGTACATCGACATGGGTCAAAATGTCCCTACGCCATAGCTTGGTCAAATCTCATCCGATTTTTACGAGGTTGGTATTTTTATTCATGGTTTTCCCTCTAGATTAAACTGGCATTCAAATCTGAACACCGATTTTTTAGTCGAAATTCATGTCCAAATCTTACCCCAAGGTTCGTACATCGACATGGGTCAAAATTTCCCTACCCCATAACTTGGGCACATCTCATCCGATTTTGATAAGGTTGGGCTTTTTGTTCATGGTTTTCCCTCTAGATTAATCTGGCATTCAAATCGGAACATCGATTATTTAGTCGAAATTCATGTCCAAATCTTACCCCCTGATTCTTATATAGACATGGGTCAAAGTTTCCCTACCCCATAACTTGGGCAAATCTCATCCGATTTTTACGAGGTTGGGCTTTTTGTTCATGGTTTTCCCTCTAGATTAATCTGGCATTCAAATCCGAATATCGATTTTTTAGTCGAAATTCATGTCCAAATCTTACCCCCTGATTCTTATATAGACATAGGTCAAAATTTCCCTACCCCATAACTTGGCCAAATCTCATCCGATTTTGATAAGGTTGGTCTTTTTGTTCATGGTTTTCCCTCTAGATTAATCTGGCATTCAAATCTGAACACCGATTTTTTAGTCGAAATTCATGTCCAAATTTTACCCCCAATATTCGTACATCGACATGGGTCAAAATTTCCCTACCCCATAACTTGGCCAAATCTCATCCGATTTTGACGAGGTTGGGCTTTTTGTTCATGGTTTTCCCTCTAGATCAATCTGGCATTCAAATCTGAACACCGATTTTTTAGTCGAAATTCATGTTCAAATCTTACCCCAAGGTTCGTACATCGACATGGGTCAAAATTTCCCTACCCCATAACTTGGCCAAATCTCAGCCGATTTTTACGAGGTTGGGCTTTTTGTTCATGGTTTTCCCTCTAGATTAATCTGGCATTCAAATCGGAACACCGATTTTTTAGTCGAAATTCGTGTCCAAATCTTGCCCCAAGGCTCGTACATCGACATGGGTCAAAATTTCCCTACCCCATAACTTGGCCAAATCTCATCCGATTTTGATAAGGTTGGTCTTTTTGTTCATGGTTTTCCCTCTAGATTAATCTGGCATTCAAACCTGAGAACCGATTTTTTAGTCGGAATTCATGTCCAAATCTTACCCCAATATTCTTATATAGACATGGGTCTAAATTTCCCACCTCCATAACTCGGTCAAATCTCTTTCGATTTTTGCGAGGTTTGGCTCTGTGCTCATGGTTTGGCCTCAGGATCAATCTGGTTACATTATTCTTGGTCAAAATTCACGTAAAAATGATTATACAATTCTCCTCATTTATATACAAAAAGGCGTAAGCCATATTTTTAAAAATGTATTTAATATACGCAATAGTCTCTATTGTTTGTTCATATTCCTATAGCTTTATTTTTATCTATATCAATCTTAAGTCTTATCAAATTTGCTGCATTTCTTTCAAAGATTGTCCTTAACCCATGGACAATATTACGAAGAATTATGCGGAGAGTAATACATTTTTAAGAATATACGATATACCGACACTTTATTTTTAATTAGTGCCGAGTTAATAAGACTTAATATAAATAAAACAAATTGCTTTTTGTGTTTTTCGCTTTTTTGGATGCCAAAAAAGTTGCATAATTTTATTATTATTGTACGTTTCCCGTTTGAATATATAAGTATGTATATATAAGTAATAATGAAATCGTTTCGTTTAAAAATTGTTTCAAAGGCAAAAATGTACATAATTAATACTCGTATGTATGTTTGTATGTTGCATGTAATTGATTATTGAATTTTTCATATTTGTTTAAATGTATGCATATAGAATTTATTGATAATTTTAATGAAGTGCGCTAAAAAGTATACTCTTGTGAGATCTGACTTGGAATGAACACTACAGGCAAATTTATCTAAGCAATTGCAAATTTGAATTTGATATTTTGACATTGAATTTGAGTTCGAATTTCGATTTTGATAAACCCTACAATAATTGGATACGTAACTGGCGATTGCAGCAATGAGATGCAACACATGAGCAGAATTTCCGTACTATATATTCAATCCGTATATATATATATATATATATATACTATAAAGTTCTATTAAGTATGGGGTAAAACAGTTCTGTCTATCGATATCGTTTTTTTTTTTTTGGTTATTGTATGTACAATAAATTCGTATTACATTTATTTATTGTATATGTGTTTGAGAAAGTCGTCGATTATGTTGTTTTTGGGTTTTTGTAAGTTTATTGGTAGGTATTATTCATATACATATAGTACTTATAAGGCAGCTGTTGAAAGCGAATTCGTTCAACTGGCTGTCGTCCGATGAACTCTGTATATATATATATATATATACTATATAGGTCGGTAGTTCTATTGTATTTGTATTCCTTTTACCACACATATATATTTTATTATATATATCCAGTACTTGATTATATGTAGTGTATATGTAGTATTCCTTTCTATATGGCCATATAGATGTACAATCTTAAAGTTCTTTTTGTTTTTTATTTTCTGAAACATTTCAACTAGATTCGGTTTATGCGCCACAGCTAACGAGCTGTACAAATTGTTCTATCACAATCGGTACATACAGCTATAGATCAAATTGTAAATGCATTACGAGTATGTCTGTGTACGTGTATGTATGTCATATATATACACGCATATATATTATATATATATATAAGAAATTTACCTATCGTTTGTCTGGACTATATGTATTGTTTTTGCTATGGATAACCACGTATTAACATCTTATAGGCTAAACATTTACAAAAACACATTTCGACAGCGTTTTTTTTTTGTTGCATCTTCTTCTACTTAACATTTCACAACTAGATTTGACGAAAATTCAAAACCAAACCAACCATTTTTGAGTATCGCAAAATGTATTATCCAATATGTCCATTCAGCCATTTTCCAGCTAAAAATGGGGATTCAATTTTTAGCTAGCTTTTGGCATGAAAATGACAAGTTTAGCAATTTTCAACACTGTCTTTTATGCTAATTGGTGTAATTCATTTTAATATTCTCAAAACTGGTTGGTTTTAGAATTTTCACTAGTCGTTACGGGTTTGCTTGCCTAAGACCCTAATTGGTCTAAATTTTATATTTAATAAATAGTACTCCTGACTTTTCCATTATGTGAAAATAATGGTCTGCATTATATTTGATAAATAGTACTCCTGACTTTTCCATATTGTGGAATCAATGCATTTGAAATCGCACTTAATGGTACCTACAACTAAGTTTTTGATTCTATTCGGAATCGTTGTATGTGTTGAGTGTAGATGTGTGCGTGTGTGTGTTTCATATGGGTGTGGAATGCGCTGCACAGCTAAGAATGTTAACTGCTGAACATACTGTTAAGGCTATGTTAATTAACATGGCAGTGGCGCTTCCTTCTTTCTTTTAACTTGTGCACCTCATTCATGATTCGGCAATGCCGAAACTTTTCCTTTGGGGTTGGTTTTCCTTTGCATTTACATTGCCGACGAGATCTGCTGCGTCTGCTGGTATTGTTGCTGCTGCTGCTGCTGCGGCTGCTGTGGCTGTGGCTGCATTTGCAGCTGCAGCGCCGGTTCCTGCAGCATCTGGGGCGACGGCGAGTATTGCTGCTGCTGCTGATGCAGTTGCTGCTGCTGTTGCAGCAGCTGTTGTTGTTGCTGCAGCTGCACCTGCTGCTGCGCTGCGACGGCTGCAGCCGCATTCTGTTGAGAGGACGCCTCCGATGTTTTCAGGAAATACGTTATCAAGTCGATGGGCAGCGGGAACACAATCGTCGAGTTCTTCTCCGCGGATATGGTGTTGAGTGTCTGGCCATAAATCAATGCAATATATAAGTATAGTTAAAGGGAAGCGAGTTCAATGGCCACGCCTACCTGCAGATAGCGCAGCTGCAGCGCTGCCGGCGAATCGCCAATCACCTCGGATGCCTCGCGCAGCGCTCGTGATGCCTTCTGCTCACCTTCGGCGGCAATCACCTTGGCGCGCGCCTCACGCGCTGCCTCCGCCTCGGCGGCCATTGCGCGCTGCAGTTGCACGGGCAGACGCACATCCTTGCTGTTCAGGTGCGTTCAGGAAGAGGAAGGAACTTAGATTAGCCATTTGCACTTACAAACCGCCGCAGGCAGACTCGTGTCGCTGTAAACTGATTCAGAAAATATGCGAGTGGCATGCAACGACTACAATGTAAGGCTATTCCAAGGGTGTGGGGCAACCCCACTCGGTGGCTATGTGCATGTTCTTTAAATTGAAAACTGAACTGTTTCATTGCCAAATGAGACGCATTTAAGGCTCAGCCTTGGTCAGGCGCGCAACATTTAAGGTCATTAGGCTAATGCCGCTTTTTTCTTCTCTAGGCCGTATTCATGATTAATGTGAGCTCTATTTAAACGAATACTTTTTGAATAAAGCAGATTGCCTAGAGGTTTTGCAGACCGTTTTATGAGTCTGCTTTGTAGAATCTTACAAAGAACAGTTTATTTATTTTATAAAGAAATGTGTTACGTAATGTCCGTGAGCCCAAAGCGCTTAAATATATTCTTCATAAGTATCAAGACCGAGTCGATATAGATTACATCTCCCTTCTACTTTAATGCGAAAGCTAATCTCTCAATATTTTAACTATATACTGTATCATAAAGCTCCCGAAGCTCAGTTTTTTATTCCTTCCTCAATAACCTAAATTATCTGTAAGCTCTTATTTAATTTGATTCATTAGACTCCTGTAGGAAACATTGTTCGAAAGTAATTCGTTTCTTTAAAAGTATTTTATTAACCCATATACCTAATGGTCCGGTCCACAAGGGTATTTGATCTTCGAGCTTTTCCTACTTATTGTAAATGTATAAAGCATTCTTAACATTGACAAGAATTGAAATGCCAAGCAAAATCCCAACAATATCAAACTACTGCCTATCACATCTTTTAAGGGTATTCCACGTGCGGTTTTGCAACATATACTTGTCTTGCGTTTTCTTCTTTTTGTCCGACTAACACCCACAACATTTACCATAAAATGTCATGTTCATATTTTATTGGCCTTGACAAAGAAATTTATCGCCTGATTAATTTCATAAAAATTGTTCGCCGGACAACATGAGCAACAAAATTGAAGCCTAAGACTGTCGTAAAAATGTAACAATTTTCATGGACAAAATGCGACTAAAGGGCGTGGCCGCTGCTAAGCCACAACAGCAACAACAACAACAACACAAAATGCGTCAAGTTGTTTGGGCCAGTGCAGCCGCTGGGACATGACCACAGAATGTTGTTGAGGTTGTCAATGTTGTTGTTGTGGTTGTTGTTGCTGCGGTTGTTGTTGCTGTTGCTGCTGCTCTTGTTCGCCATTTTGTTGGTCATGTATTTGTCAAGCTGTCAGTCGGCTTAGACCAGCGCCAGCAGCAGCTGTTGACATTTTAGCTATTTTCTAGTTTTATTTGGCTTTAGAGCGTGTCGTGAAACAGCTGAAATTTAAACAGCTTAAGCTACTTTTTGGCTGCTCACTAAACCTATTTTTTGGGTTAATACAGCTCTTTCGGCTGTTTCCTTATATTGAATTTAGCTACTACGTTTTTTAACGACTCGGCAACACTAGCCTGAAGCTGGACCTTCCACTTCTTCCCCCTATCTATGCTTATAACAATTATCTAACTATTATTTCGCACTGCATTCGTCTAATACTTTTTTCAACTGTTCTTCGGCAACACTGGCCAGAAGCTTTAGCTATAGCTGAAGCTGAAGCAGTCTCTTCAACGTCACAATTATCTAGCTATTTTCTAAAATTGCATTTGGCTGGTAATTTTTTGCACCGTCCCTCGGCAACACTGGCCAGCAGCAGCTGTCGCTTAGACTTTAGCTGGAGCTGGAACTGAAGCAGCAGCTGGCTCATCCACTTGTCCCAGCGCGGCTAATAATAAATTACAACAAGGCAACAACTGTGATGGCAGACAAAGGCCAGGCAACCCCCTGCCTCGGCATCCGCCCCTAACCCCGCTGGTCGGTGTAATAAAAGGCTGCCAACATAATGGCACACCACCTACATTTTGACATAGAAACCTTTGTGTGTAAAGGCTGTGCGTGTGCAAGTGTGTGTGTGTGTGTGTGTGTGTGTGTGTGTGTGTGATAGAAAAAGTTGCACTACTTACATTTCAACACGTTCAACTTTGATGCCCCAAGCATCGGTGGCTTCGTCGAGCTGAACCTGTTTATGATTTGGCCCACATAACGTTGTGGCAGGTGTGTGAGAGCATGTGTGTCGGTGTGTGTGAGTGTGTGTCGAAAATTAATGTAGGTGTGTGTGTGTGTGTGTGTGTTGAAAATAGCAGTAGAAACACATTAGTTTTTGTTTACACACATTTTTCATGCTGTTAACTGTGATGGTTTTTGCTTTTCACATTTTCACAATTTTCTTGCTTTTTTTTGGGGTTTTTCTTCTTCTTTTTTTTTTCATTCTCATATTGTTTTGTGGGTCGTTGCAGAATCCTTGAAACCGCCAAAGCAGAGAAAACTGCAGCATTTGGCTGCGTCTAACGGCAAACGAGTTGCCAACTTGGCATTCCTGGCCATGCTCGACGTGGCAGCAGCAGCTGCCGCAGCTGACATGAGTTTCAGCCTGATTTTGAACTATTTTTCATATGGCCATAAAAAAATAAATAAATAAAGCGAACAAATTGCTGAAGCTGAAGCCGAAGCTAGAAGCAACGATTTGGGTTAAGTTGGCAGCTGTTTGCCCGTCTGCGCCGATATATGCGATGCTCAGCATAGTGTATTTATACACTGAGAGGAAATTCATGCATATTACAATCATAGGAAATATTTCATTGCCTTTTTAATGTCGTGTGAATAACTGCTCTGTTTTAAACTTATTTTTCCTATATTTGTTATCATAGCTTGTCTTTGCATGGAGTTAAACCTCTTTGAATATTTTAAGTAATTCTTTTAACAGTGGAATCTTTTTTATTGAACTTGGTTTGCTCGCAATTGAACTTTCTTTTTATATATACATAACCGATTTTTATCATTTTCTAAGTGTAATTTAGGGTCTTCAGGGTCTTTTAAGGTCATATTTCATTTGCTTTCAACTTTTCTTAATGGAGAGTTTTCTGAGAACAGCTGGAAAAACATAATTGTTTCTTATGTTTTTTAAGTTTTCCTATAAGGTTATCCATTTCTTTCTTTGTTTTTCGACATGTGGAAATCGACTCTAAGTTTAATTGATAAAGTGCATCAAAAGATGGTGGAAATAATTCTAGAACTGCAGAAAATGCTATGCCTTATGTTGAAAATGTTCTATGATTGCAAAATAGAATTAATTTCTCTCTGTTGTAGAAATGCTATACGAAATGCTTTCGAAGACATTTTACAAATGTTGCAAAGTTTTTTTCAATAGAAAAAATATCTTCTGGATATTAATATTTCTGAGTGTAGAGCACGTTTTGATTTGCAACTGTAAAAGATGCCGTTGGCCAGGCTTTATTTGATTCCCTTTTCATTTTGGCAGCTGCTGCAAAATTGCAATTAGCAATTATTATTTAGACTTTCAGTTGTGTGCACAAAAGTCTTAAAGTCGCTGAATAATTAGCAGCAGCAGCAGCAGCAGCAGCTGCGGCCTCCTTTGTGGCAAGTGGCAAGTGGCAAGTGGCAGGTGGCACATGTCGGGGGCACATAAGTCAATTACGTGCTAAACGGGGCAAAGGGCTGGTCTGGTCTGGTGTGGTCTGGTCTGGACGGGGGCTGCAGGTTAGCTGCAATTGTTTCACTCACCTGCATGGTGCCGGAAATCGTCATACGCTCGCTGAGTATCTCATGCAAATGCCGAGTTCCCATTGTGTTTCGTAGAGTAGTCTGTGCCAGTAGTCTGGTCGAATGGTGAGCATTCTCCACGTTCGCTATAGAGACGGTTGCATTTGATACGCGATAGTAAACCACTGCATCCACCGAAACCGTAACGCTATCCTTTGTCAGAACCTACAAGATGCAGTGGGTGGGATTGTTTTTTTTTTTTGTTCTCTTTATCTTTATCATTGTTTTCTTTTTCATTTGCTTGTCTCTATATTTGCGTGCTTTCTTTCGCTTATTATTATTTTTATTGTGTTTCTTTTGTTGCTTTGCTTTTTGTTTGTTATTCTTTTATTTAGATTATGCTTGTTATTGCTGTCACACATAAGCACAAAGCTGCGACTACACAAGTGTGTGTGTGTGTGTTTAAGTCTTAGTTTTGTATACCCTTGCATTGAGTATTAACAGTTTTCCAGGATATATGTAACCCGCTTAAGGAGACATCTTCAAGTATAGCACATGAAGTGTCTATCGGACAACTATATCATATAACTCAGAGAGGAACCATCGATCAACATCAGGTAAGACACAACCTTTATTGCTATTCTAAATATCTTATAAAACATTTTTAAGCCCAAGCCTCATTTTACACCTAACAATTGATCAAAGTATTGGACTACAATATCATATGAAAATTGTTTAATTTATTTTGCAAATCGATCGGAAGACACACAAAAAACTTTCATGTTACCTTTTGTCTTTTCTTTTTTACAGTTGCGGATGAAATTTCTAAATGCAATTGTGGAAAACACGTCTCGAAAAAATGTTTCAAACACGTCTGGGTAAGCCAATTAAAGTCGGAGCGGAAGGTAAACAAAAAATTAATATAAACATTTACCGCAAAATTTTCACTCTCTTGCACGTGGAATTTATAGAAGCTTCTTCTTAGCGTCCTTTTTCATTACGTATGTTAGCTACAGTTGAAATTTCACAGCTTATCCGTTAGAATATTACGATCGAACATTTAATTGTTGTAACTAACGTCTCACTCTCATTGCACGAAAGACAAAATTCTGAAGTCTCACTTAGTTATTTTAGCAGCAGATCCCATTTATGTAAAGTATTATGTTGTGTCATGTGTTAAGCTTGCTGTTAAGTCTTATGTTAAGCAATCTGCCAAGCAGAAGTGTTGTTAAGAAGCGTCAGATTGTTACGGTCGGGGATTGTATACAGATAAGTCGGAGAGTAAAAAGTGAAGAAATCCCTTAATGCCATGTTATTAACCTGAATAATCCTACAACATTTATGTGTCTGCAAGGGTATGTAGTCTTCGGTGCGCCGAAGAAAACTGTTTGTGTTGGTTCGTTGTAGTTGTATCTTTATATTTATCTGTGCTTGGCTTGTATCTTGCATCTAGATGAATAATTTAGTGGCTGCTGCTGCTGTGCACTTTTGCTTAGAATGGCATAATGCACACGGTATGCACTTGACTGGAGCGTCTTCAGATGGCGCTGCACTTGGACGTGATTGTGGTCTTTTCTTTAGTTTGGACTAAGTGCAAAGTGCAAACTTTGAAGCCAGACAGAGACGCAAGCACACAAACAGTGAGTGCGAGAAAGAGAGAGAGAGACTGCACAATATGCTCGACAGACGAAGCGAAATCGTGGCTTTTATTTTGATTATTGCTTTGACATGTATGTGTGTGAGTGTGTGTTAAATGTGTGTGCCATACAGAAAGCCATTTTGTATTGTTTTGCTTATTGCATTTGAAGCTTTAACTTTTGGCTTAAGTCAAGCGCTTTGTGCTGGACAAGATACAAGATACTTGTTTGTACTTCAAGCAATTTCTTTTTGTAACATTTATTTTGTTTTTATTTTCGTGATATGAGCTCGATAGCGATACGTGGAGCAAACTCAAGAGTTTTGAAGTTACAGTGTATAAGATATAGGTATGGTTATTGCACAAAATCAAATCGTATATATATACATATATATGTCGTCTATATATTACATACTTATATGCTTAGTTGTATACAAAATGTGGCAAATGACAAAACGACGAAATTAACGTAAGAAAATAAACCAAAATGCGTTAAATTGTTATTTGAAATGTTTATAGATATTACGCACAAGAGACAGGGAGAGAGAGAGAGAGAGAGAGAGGGAAAGATTGAGAGAGAGAGAGAGCGAGTGAGAACGATAGAGACAGAGAGAGAGAACGATAGAGAGAGAAAGAGAGAGAGAGAGAGAGATCTGGGGAGCGGGTGGAGGTAGCGATAGCGAAATGTTTTCTTTTGTACATGTATTTGGGTCCTTTATTCCTTGCGGCGGCTTCTTCCTTCTCACTCAGCCCAAGCTGTCGTTGCCTGAAATCAAATTGCTCTATTTTGATGCCCTGCCCCAAAAGGCGAACCCCAACTAAGACTCAAACTAAAAGCGGAAAGCTCCCCATCAAAACTATTTGCACAAAAGGCAAAAGTTTTTGGCGTTTGCGTTTTGGCCAGCGCACAAGTTGAAGCATTTTACGAGCCGGCTACATTTCGGGCCAATTCAGTTTTTCTTTTTTCGGGGGCGTCTAGACCGCCTTTTTATTTTTATGGCACACTCTGGGCCGGGTGTCAATGTTGTTTAGTGTCGTTTTGGCGGCCGATGCTCAAGAGTTTTTATTTAACTTCTTTTGCGGCCAAACAAATTTCAATATTAGCATAAAAATCAACTGAACATGAGCGAAACTTGCAAACTTTTCAATGCACAACTGGGCGTATACTTAATTTAATATAAAGCAGGCGCGGGGTTTTTAAAGTTAGCCATTCGCAGATACTGGAGTTCATTGAAAATGAATGGTTGAAGGGGGTCTTATAATTATAGCCTATAAGGTATATATGTTCTTGATCAGGACGATCTGGATCTAAATATCGCTCGGAATATACAAATAATATAGACTTGAGATTTTATAGAGTCAAATATATTTCTATATGTACGCAAACAAGCTAAACATTTTTCGATATCTGCTCAAATTCTCTAAATATCGATAAATATCGATTTTGTTTCATGCATTTTTGGGTATATCCCGAGGAATATAAGCGCTAAGTACGCCAAACTTCGTGTAACATATGCATATCACAGATATTTCACTTCTTGAATACCTCCATGTATTTGGTATTTACATACTTTACTATGCCATTTTTCATTAATATCGGACTGTAAGCATGGAAGGTAATTAGGAACGCATTGCTTATAGAGTGTATGTCGTAGTCGGGCACTTCAGCCTCAAGCACTCTTACCTGCGCGTTTTTTTTGCCCCTATAAAAGCTGCTTAAAATTTATTGAACCAGGTCTGCTTAGTTTAGTTGAGGTTAATTTGTTTGATGTGCATTCAGTTGGGTTTTTTTATAAAGCGGTGGCTTAAAGGGCCAAAAGCGTTGTCTATTCAGCTCTCTAAATCTAAATCAATTTTCAAGAACAATGGCTTAAAATTCGAACAATAGTTGACTGTGTTCAACGTGTTCAGTGTGTGTGTACGAGTGTGTGTGTTTGGGATAGTAGGTGGAATAAATTGGCTGTGAACTGTTGAAATTGCAAAGGTGTATGTGTGTGTGTGTGTGTGTGTGTGTGCATGGCATGTAGCTTAAACAAGAGAACAATGGAATATAATTGAACAATAGAAAAATGATAAATTTTCTTTTAATTAATAATTTTATAGTATTAAAAAAATCGCTGGTAAATCGCAAACAAACAAAGATAGATTTTTAACAATTTTCATACATATTTGTTTATACACTGTAACAGCTAAACTAATGAGCTTCGAGAAATTGTAGATATATATATATATATATATATAGGTATATATATATATAACTGTATAATCATTTATCATTTATTACAATTTGCACAGTTCGGCCGTCGGTGTTTCCGATTTTCAATTCGATTTCGATTTTCTAGTTTATTTTTCATAATATTCAAATTCAAATGTAAATCATATTTCAACTGAAAAATAGATATAGCTAGACTGGATGCACTGACTAAAGCTTTGGCATCTATATTTATATATTGATTGAGTGAGAGAGAGAGATAGATAGAGATAGCAATAGTGTTGAGTTAGAGAGTGGGAAGAACTGGGTAGGGCGCTGGTTCGATGCATTCTTTGGGGCGTTGCTGCAACAGCGAAGTGCGCCAACTAATTGCTGTATATTCATATGCATATGCTATATGATTTATATATATATATATAGATATAGATATATATGCTAGTTGAGTACGGGCTCTACGTTTTATGCTGGGGGTTGGACTTGCTCTAGCTAGACCCGGGCGGGCGGCGGCGGTGACGGCAGCTTCTCTTTTTTTTTTCTCGTTTTTCATGCGTGCGAAATTGATTTTACTTTTGTTTTCTTTTGTTTTCTCTTCGATTTGGTTTATTTATTGATAGTTGTTCGAGTTAAGTTAGGTGTACCCACATTTAAACAGCCTAAACCACGCAAAACACACATAGATGAACTCGACATGGATTGCTTGCTTGATATATATACATATAATTGTATTGGTCGGCATATATGGCTATATATATATATTCGGATGGTATATATACATATATATATTTGTGTATATGTATATATATATATATATAGATATATATGCTAATTCATGATCATTATTGTTGGGGTGCGTACGTTATAGCGTCCTTCGCCAGTGCTCAAACAGATCAAATGTTAACGGTTATTTAGTTAGTGGTAAGTACAATATACGAATATAATTCTTATGTTTGTCGAAACTAAAGCAATGTATATACGATCGAGTATATGTGAGTGTGTGTGTGTGTGTGTGAGTCGAGAACTAAACCAAAACTGTACTCATAAAATGTGGGATGTTCAATTTCGATTCGTACTTGTACATAATTTTAATCCAACAATATATGTGTGTGTTTGTATGCGTGTGTGTGTGTGTGTGTGTGTGAGTACGAGTTTTAAGAACTTGTCATTTTTTTATACTTTTGATTTTTGTTTTATTTAAGTTTTAGTTTTGACAGTTAGAAAGCTTTTTTAGAATAGACATTTATGGAAATATATATATATATTTAGCATGCTCTCAAAAATTATTCGAACGCTTAATCGAAGGATCGGGTGAGAGGGGGGTGTATCAAAAATTAAGTGCATTTTGGTTTGAGTTTGTGTAAATACATATTTTTTTTTGCTTGTCTTCGGAGAGGTTTTGTTTTTTTTTTTTGGTTTTTGTTAGGGTTGATCAAAAACAATTGTTTCGCTAAACAAAACTAACATAGCTCAAAACGAAAATCGGTACATATATATATATAGAGGTATATATAGAGTAAGAGATACAGAGCGTGGGTTAGATAGACAGAGAGAGAGAGAGAGAAAGAGAGAGAGAGAGAGAGTTAGATAAAGCTAAGCAGTTTATAGAGCTGCTTAGCATAAGTTCGAGCGGGCGAGTGAGCAAGACAGAGTTAAAATTACACAGAGAGAGAGAGATAGATAGAGAGAGAAAGAGAGAGAGAGACGGAAGAGTGAGGGAGATAGACAGCTTGGGTTGTTGAGGGCAGCTTTGTGTGTGCATTCAAGTGGTTAAAGGTATTTTTACACTCAAAATTTCTTTCAGTGTGTGTTTAGCCAGCTTTCTGTTGCATACTTTTCAGCTGCACAAGACCCAAGCTATGTGGCCATAGGTATGTGTGTGTGCGTGTGTGTCTTCTGTCTATGGGACTGTGTGTGTGTGTGTGTGTGTGTGTGTGTACGGGTGGAACATTTTGTGTATACCCTGTGTTCAGTGAACAAACATTTCACATACATTTTCAGTTTCAGCCAATTTTGTTTCCTTTGATTTGTGCTGTTCAGTTAAGGTTCAGGTTGTTGCGTTATTTTTTTATTTTCGATTTGCCACGCCCCTTGGCCACCCGCCCACCAATTAGCAGAAGTCTGTACAGTGTGCATTAAGTGCTCGGCTGAACACAGAGAATCGGTTTCAGTTGATATGCTTAGCATTTGCTTTTTTTTGGTTGTTTTTTTTTTGCGTTTCTAATTGCAAAACACAATCAGAGATTTTCAACTATGCAAATTGTAATAAGTTGAAGTTAAAGACACCAAACAACTAACTAAAGACTTTACATAAATGATAGATGAATGCGACACGATATCATTTCGTATGCACTTTCCACACACACAACAACAACAACAAGAACAACAACAACAAGATGACGCTTATGGTTAAAAAAAAAACGAATATCTATAAAGGGAGTAAAAAGTTCAGCTCAGCGACTGCTGAGGGCATTGCCGCAGTGTCCTTCATGCGTTTTACAGAAAAAAATAAGAGAGAGAGAAAAAAAAGCGGAGAAACCCAAAAGTCAACTGAACTGAATCCGAAATAAAAAACGAACCGAAATGTGAATAAAAATGCAAATGTTGGCGGAAGCTGCAAATGTGCAAAGTTGGGCAACACCGAGTACTCCAGTCGGTTGTGCCAGACTAGGCGATACCCTGCGAGCTGCCTTCACAATTCTATCAGTTACCTGTGCTCCGTTTTCCCTTAGCCTCAGAAACTATAGAAACTATAAGAATTTGTTCTTCAGTATCTTCGAACCTTATTGTCCGATCTTTATGAAGTTTTTTATGCATACATAAGGCATATATATGTGTGTGTATATCAAAGCACAATACTCTATACTTTAATAAGAATATAATTTATTTCTTTTGTCAGAAGTGAAGTATTCTTAGTCTGTATAAACCATACAAGACCCTGCATAGCAAGTTTATTGTACCTAGTTTGCATAATACTCCAGTTCCATCTGAAAAACCTTGTCTCGAAATCGATATTTATCGATATTATGAAAAAGCCAGAAGATATCGGAAAGCTTTAACTTTTGTTGTTTGCGAGACAAACAAACAGACAGATAGATATTGCCTTATCGACTTCTGTCTGTTAAATACAGTTGCTCGTATCCCCTTTTGTCTATGGGCAGTGTGTTCAGGGCATCATAAAAATAAAGCTATATAGGTTATGGAGCTTACGAAAGGCAGCGAGAGAATGCAGCAATTGTGTTTGCTCCACGTGACGCCAACTCTGTTTCTCTATTTTATTCTGAGTTTGAGATGTTGCACTTAAATGTACTTATGGATATGAGCTCGATATGATAAAAGCTAATAAATAAAAGGGACTCGACAAATGCACTAGAAAAATGAACTTAAATAAAGGGAACGCGCTTTTGTTCTGGAGTATTGTTGGTGTCAGTGTGTGTGTGTGTGTGTGTGATGGTCTAGTACACACCAAAGACAATTATGATATTAATTAAATAGTTTTTAGGACAGTAAGTGTCATACATATAAGCAACATTTGAAACATATAACAAATACAACAAGGCTACAAACAACAACATTATAGTTTCGCTGTCTGTGTGTGTGTGTTTGTGGCACGCCCACAAAACGTAACAAAATGCAAAAGGAAAAGTGAGCAAATGCAAAAAATACAAGAAAGAAAAAACGCAGCAGCCGCTGCTGCTTCTGGCCAGTTTTTGTTGTTGTTGCTGTGCGTGTGCGTGTGTGTGTTTGGAAAAGTATCTTAGCTGTTTGTGAAAAGTTAAAGACAGAGAGGTGGGCAGCAAGAGAGAAAGAGATAGCGAGAGAGAGAGAGAGAGCGAAATAGAGTGAAGCTGCTGAAGAAGGAAACACTGTTACGCAGGAAAACGCAAAAAGAAAAGCAAACTGAAATGTAAGCCAAAGTAAACAGCGTGACATGCGACGACAACAAGAAAAACAACAATAACAAGAACAACAACGCACGGAAAAGAAAATACACACACACACACACAGAGAGTTATGCAAAAGGAAACGTAACAAAGGCAAAGAAAACGTTGCGTATGCGTAATTTACGCTCCAGTTGCGTATCCTGCGAGTGTGTATGTGCGCGTATGTGTGTGTGTGTGTGTGTCTAACTGTAATTGTAGCTGTGTGTATTTGTGCATTTGGGGCCAACACAAAAACAAAATTGTTGTTTAACAAAATTTCGTGTGGCAAAAGCTTAAAAAAATTTCTTATACTTGTTTTAAGTTTTTCACTTTTACTGAGCAGCATTTAAATGGTCAAGTTTTAGCTTGACATGTGTGTCTGAATTTATGAGTATGTGTATGTGTTTGTGTGTGAATTAAGAACAACAACAACAACACACAAACGAAAAGTTGTTGCCGCTGCTGCAGACTTACCTCCTGCGGTGGCACATCGTAGGTGCGAGTACGCAAATCCACGCGTGCATACGAGTCAATGCAGGGCAGTATGAAGAAAATGCCTGCGAATAAAGCATGGAGAGAGAGAGAAAGGGAGAGAGAGAGAGAAAGAGAGAGTAGAGTAGTAGAGTAGTAGTATTTAAGCAAACTAATCTGCTGAGTGGAGGGCGACAAATGTGACGCCAGCAGCAGCTGCCATTCGACGCGGTGTGGCCCCCAAAAAGTTAGCGCTAATTTGGAGCAAGTGCAGCAATTAACACAAATTCTTGTCGCCAGTCGGTACTTGAATTCGCATAGCCAAGCCTGAACACCTTGCCCCTCCGTAACTCACCTGGACCCTTGGCGCCGCCCTGCATAAGGCGGCCGAGGCGAAAGATAACCGCGCGCTCGTACTCCTGCACCACCTGTAAAATACGAGAGGATAAGCAGGCAGAGCAGGGCGAGAGACACAGAATGAGGGGGAGAGAGGGGGGGGGAGAGAGAGAGAGAGAGCAAAATTTGAGTAAAATGTGAGCTGCAATCATGAGCACTGCATAAAGTATAAAGTATACGGATTTTATTCGTAGAAATGCTCCTGAATTCTTAATGAATAGTTTATCTGTATAGCTCAGCTTTCATTTCACGTGAAATTAAATAGTGCAGATACTTAGTCAATCTGTGCGTCATTCTATCAGTCAGCCATTTAGTTTGTAGGTCAATCTTAACTCTGTCCTTCAGTCAGCCAGTCATTCAGCCAATCAGAAGGTCAATCAAACAGTCCGTCAGTCGGTCAGTTCTTAAGTCAGTTACTCGGTCAATCAGTCAGTACGTGAGGCAATCAGTCAATTGGTCATTTAATAAGTCCGTCAATCAGTTGGATGGTCAATCAGTGTCCGTTATTCAGTCATTTATTCTGCCGGTCGGTAAGTCAACCAACTAGTCAAAGAATCAATCAGTTCTTCAGTCAACCACTTCTTAAGTCAGTCACTCGGTCAATCAGTCAGTCCGTGAGTCCGTCAGTCTGTCAGTCAATTACTTATGCTAACGTCTCGTCAGTCAGTCTTAGGACAACCAATCAGCTAATCATTTCGTTTATCAATCAGTCCGTCTATCAACCAGTTTGTCATTTATCCTGTCAGCCAGTAAGCCCGGCATGTATTCAGTCTGTAAGAATGTCAATTAGATAGTCCGTCTGTCAATCATTCAGCCGGTCAGTAAATCAGTCAGTCTGTCAATCAGTAAGTCAATCAGTCCTTGAGTCAACTAGTCAGTTCCTGACAAGCAGTTTTGTAAGTCTGTCCATCAGTCTGTCAATCAGTCCGTCAGGAGATCAGTAGGAGTGTTCGTCAGTGAATCATTTATTTGGTGATTCAGACAGTCAGTCAGTAAATCAATCAGTCAATAAGTCAATCAATCTGTGAGTCAGGCAATCAATCAGATAGTCAAAGAGTCAGTTTATAAGTAAATCCAGAAAACTACTTTTGTAAGTCAGTCCATCAATCCATCAATCAGTCAGTCAATCTGTCAGTGCTTATTCAATCAGTCAGTGAATGAGTCAAGTATTAAACAAGTTTAATGATTTTTTTATAAACAAATGTTATATATTCAAATAATATGCAAGTCTGAGCTTGACTTCGGTGTTGATTGATGGGCTTACCTTGAAGCAGACAAATAGACTGAAGGGCAGCGTCATTATCACAAGTGCCACGGATAGAAAAATGAGCAATTTGCCGCATGTCGAGGCCTTGTCGCTGATATCCTCGTCCGCTGCGGAAAAGAGTGTGGCAAGAAAATTGAAAATTATAGCGCAAAGTGGCAGCAACTGTACACAAGACTTGCGAGAGACAGACAGAGAGCAAATGCTGCAAATTGAGTTTAATTTTAAACACAAACACACACACACACACAAACACACACACACACAAACACACACACACAAAAAATATGTATATATAGGTAAATTTATATTTTTTTAGCTTTATATTTGTAAATTTATCGACGGGCTCGCGACGGTCTAAGAGAAAAAAAATACATGTCGCTAGCCAAAAAAATTGTTCAGTTTTTGCTGGCGGCAACAAGTCGCACATTTTCGGCGGCCAAGTTTATCCCGAGAGAGTCAAAAATTGTGTTACGCTGGGGCACTTTAAAAGACACCAAGAAATAAAAAATGCGAAATGAAAAGAGAGAGAAAAAACTGTAGCATACTTAAGAGCGCGCGAGAGTTGGAGGAAAAGAAAAAAATGTAGCTGATAGAGAAATAATCGTAGATTATATAAAAAAGTTAAGCATTAGTTCTGTGTAGACTGTGTGTGTTGTTCGGGATGTGGGAATAAATGTATCTTTTTTAGTTTGAATAACTGTTTTTCTGCTTTTGCATTATTTGTTCCAAATTAGTGCGACTTACAATAGAGAAATCCATGTGAATGTTTTGCTTGTGTATCTGCAAGAATACGATAAATCAAACGATTGTCAAAATTAATAGGACTTGAGGATGGGCAGGGGGCACGCTGCGTACTATTTTCTGTTTTCTAGTCTTATATTGATTTTTGATTTTCGATTTCGATTTCGATTTGGTGAGTTTCTTTTTTTTTTCGGGAGCCATATTTGCTGCATGCAAAAGCCACTAATTAGCTAATTAGAACTAAAGCTAAAGTGAATTTTCAAATAATAAATATTGCATGCCATGCATATTTAAATGCTGTTTGCTGCGTGTTGCAGTTGCAGTTGCAGTTTGTCTTGTGGTTTTTTCTTTTTGCCCTTTTTTCCATTTTCAGTTTCAATTACAGTTCATTGAGAACTTGCAACAATGCCAACGCTCAACGTCGGCAAAGTGTTGTTAACGAGCCTTTTCTCTCCCTCTCTCCCGTTTGCTCTCTCCCGCTCTCGGAACTTGCGGAAAAGCTGGAAAATAGCTGAAACTCTCGCTCGCAACTTTGATGGGTATTTGTGGTACCTTTATGTGGCACGTTAAGCCAACAAGCTGTTAAACATTTGCCCAGGAACCAGGACCAACTTTTATTGAAATTGATTTCGAAATAATTGCAATGGCGTTGACGTCGATTTGAATGCTTCGGATGCGGATGTGGGCGGCGGGGCGTGGCTTACTGTTGCCGCTGACAAATGAAAGTCTCCCCGATTTGTGTGTGTGTATATCTGTGTGTGTGTGTGTGTGTGTGTGTGGTAATAGATTTATGGCCAAGTAGCTACCTTAAAAATAGACCAGCATCAAAATGTAATTAGTTGGAATGGGTTACATGAGCTTCGGCTTAGCCCAGCTGCAGCTCGAGTCATTTCAAAGTTTTTAATACTCTATACCAATGAGTGCAAAAAGGTTTTGTGCAGTTCAGTTTTTCCTTTTTTATCCCATTTTCTTGTTGGTGCCATTTTCCTGTCGGATTTGTCGGAACTCTTGAAGCAAAGTTCGGAAAGCATTTTATCCCTGCCTCGATGTGGCACTAAGAAGAGCTCTTTTTTTTTCAATTTTCTAGGCTCTGAGGAGCACGAATGTTGGACCTATTAATGATTTGTCTGCATCCAGAATACGCTAACTCTAGCTTATTATTGATTAAGTACAAGATGAAAGAAATATCTATATTTAATCCCTGAACCCAAAAATCTGGGTGAGGGCAGCAGGAAGCGTCTACGAAAACTATAATTGAGACCTTTCAATTATATTCGCGTTTTTCATTAGCAAAAAGAGTTAATCTTATTTGTTTCGACAGATTCTCCCTTTTTTTGATAACTGAAGGAATGAATGAAAGGTCTTTTAATGGCTTATATCATTATTTATGGCCTCATGAGAGAGGATGGGTAAAAGTGTTAGGAGCTTCAAAAAATCCTATCAGAAGTGCTATGTTTTTCCAATTTCCTAATAGACTTGCTATGTTCCACCGAATTTCCAATAAGACCGGGTCTATTTTCTCACATTTCCTTAATATCGATAAATATGGATTTTTTTTCTGTGGCATAACTCGAAAATCACAAGAGCTACAAGCCTCAAACTCGGCATTAAGGTTCTTTTATGGTACACACATATTTCGGATATTTCACTTTTTGAGTAACTTCAACTATTGCCTACGCAATTGCAAAAACAACTCCGATGTTAAGATGAAGCCTTGCGCTTTGACTTAAAACAACCAATTTAATCAAGAATACTTTTTTCCAAAGAAAGTGTGCTGCATTAGGAAGAAAAAGCACACGTTTTTTTGTTTGTATTTTAATTTTAGCTCCACGAATTGAATACGTCATCTGCAAGTTTTTCTATATTTAGCAACAATTTAATCGCCGCCATCAAATGAGATAAAACTTTGAATTCTTGAATAAAATTTCGTTGCTTAATTCGCGCTGGCAGCGCAAACAGCGTGTGGTCATAATTTTGTAATGACCCAGCCGAGCTAGCCAGAGGCTGTCAGAGCCACATCCCCCCCCCCCCCCCCCCCTCACTTCCCCCACTCACCCTTTTAGACCACCCCCGCTCAGGCCCCCCAGCACGCATACGTCATAGCAGCAGCCCCTGGCAAAAAGCTTTGCTCACGAAAATGGGTCACGTTGTTGTTGTTGTTGTTGTTGCTGTCATTTTTGTTGTTGTTGCTGTTGTTGTTGTTCTTGTTGTTGTCTGTGTGTGTGTATATTTCAGGCACTCTGATTGAATTTTGCATGCAAAATGCGTGCATGCTTTTGAGGCAGCCAAAAAATGTTCGGGCCCAGGCTTAAGCTGGCAGCCCTTTTGTCCGCCTAATGAAGCGATTAGCGTGCATATGAGATGAGGCATTCGACACACACACACACCACACAAACACACAAAAGCACACACAGACACACACATTATCATATTTTAGGTCTAGTTTATTAGATTGCCAAATAAGAGATATTAAACAAAAATTGTTGCCAGACATGGGCTTCAAAAAAGTTAAAGCAAATATCAAAAATTTTGTTCAGCACACACACACGCGCACATAAGATACACACCCACACACACAGCCAGTTATTCTTATTGGATTTTCTTTTTATTATTTTTGATCAGTTGGCAGCCAAATTGCATCAATAATTGATGAGCCTGTTGAGCGATGCGATGCGGCGCGCTGCCAGCAAAAATGATTTGAGTGAAGCGCCAGCTAATGAAAATTGCCAAGAAAATTACCATAGCTCAAAAATGTGTGTAGCATACTTTTTGGGGGCAGCCGCGCAACAAGTTCAAGAAAAATGCATTTACCAAAACCAAAAAATAAAGCCAGCAAACAGCCACTCAGCATCATTTCAATAATTTATATACACAATTTGGCACTAGCTATATATATATGCATGTATGCATGTATGCATGTATGCATGTATGCATGTATACATGTATGCATGTATGTATGTATGTATGTACAGGCAATTTCCCGGCATTTCCTGCAGACTCACCTCGTCGCTGCTCAGCTCGATGTATGGCCTGCTGCTGATGCGACTGCTGCATCAGAGCATGATGACTGTGCGGCAATGCCAGCTGCTGTTGCTGCTGCAGTTGTTGTTGCTGCTGCTGGTTAAGTTGTTGCTGCTGTTGTTGTTGCTGCTGCTGCTGCTGATTGAGTTGTTGCTGATGTTGTTGCTGCTGCTGCTGTTGCTGTTCTTGCTGCTGCTGCTGCGGTGTTTGCTGCTGCTGCTGCTCCAGTTGTTGCTGCTGCTGCTGCTGCTGCAGCTGGTTGCGCTGCTGCTGCACTTGTTGGTGATGCTCGCGTGTGTTTAATTGCGGTCGCGTCGACTGCGGCGGCGGCAAAATGGGCTGCTGCTGCGGCAGCTGATGGTGTTGCATGCTTGGCGTTCCCGTTATGGGCAGTTGATGGTCCCGTTCCCGCTGTTCGCTGATTGTTGCTGTTCCTTCTGCCGCAGCGGTTGGCGCTGGCGCTGGCGTTGCAAAGGTGCTTGTGCTTGTTGCCGCCATCACACGCTGCGGCGGCTGATGATGCCGATGCAGCTGATGATCCCGATGCTCCATATCCATCATCGAGTCGGGCATCAAGCCGCGCTCACAAAACGACGCCAGTGCGGCGGCTGTGGCTGGCGTCTCTGCGTCAATCAGTGCGCTATCTTCGAGCAGGTGCAAGACCCGCTTCTAATGTAGCCTATTGTGGCACGTTTAACTATTTGGCTAGTTGCCTGCTTAGTCTTAGTCTTTGTCTTAGTCCTAGTTGCAGTTGCATGGCCAGCAGCGGGTTGTCGTTGAGAGCAGCAGCCTGAGCAAATGCATCGCACGCACTTTTCCACACACTTTTCTTTACAGCAGCAGTCGCGGCTATCACACACACACACACACACACACACTAATGCATTGTCACTCGCTGTGTATGTACATGTGTTTCACACACTACTCTGAGCTAGTTTCCTTAGCACACACATACACACACACACACTCCTTTCCATCCAGGCTTGGTTTGTAGTTCCTTTGCTCCTTTTTTTCCTTTTTGCTGTTGTCGCTGCCTCGCTCAGAATCCAACTGAAAGTGCGCTGCCAGCGCGCATCCTTTTATAGGCAGCAGCCGTAGCAGCAGAGCTTTGCGTGAGAGCACAAAAACTTTGTTATCATCGGAGCAGAGCAGTGCGGAGCAGAGCAGCAGCAGCAGCGCAGCGCAGCAGCAGAGTTGGAGGCGGCGGCGACAAATGGCAAATGATCAAAAAGAGCTTTTTGCTGCTGCAGCTGCTGCAGCAGCAGTCGCATCTTTGGTTGCCCCTTCCAGCTGCCCTGCCTTTTCCAGCTTGCACTGACCTTGCGCATTGTGCGACACGTTGGCTTTTTCCCTGGCCCGAACTTCAGGAATAAAGCTTGCTGAAGCTTTCAAGCAGGGGCAATGCCCAGTCAAGAGAGAGCGAGGGAGAGCGAGAGAGAGCGCAGCTGAGCGAATGAGAGTTGACGACGAGTTTTTAGCACAGTGTGCTAAAAATATAAAGAAATGACTGTCGACTGTTCGTTCCGATGCTGTGCACAGGTGACAAATATGAATAGCTGACACTTGCCACACGCTGTTGCTGCTGCTGCAGCTGCTGCTGCTGCTGTGGCTGATTTTTATTGTCGTGGAATGTGGTCTGTCAGTCAATCAATTTTCAAATCAAATTTCAATTTTCAACCATTTTTGTATTTGTTTACCGGCATGGAATGATATGAGTACCTGTCCCATTATGCGTCTATCAATTGCTGGCAGGTGTGAGAGCGGGGAAGGAGGGTATTCTACAGTCATTCTAATGAACCTGCTCGCACGCTTGTCGAACTGTCGCACATTTGGGTCACAGCCGGGCCTCAGCTTTGAGCCTTTGAGACGTCAATTACCATTTACGCTTCATTAAATGCCGCGCGCACTCTCTCGCTGCCTGCAATCGGGCCAAGTATCGATACCCGAAATATACAGACAGCCCAACTAGGTAGGCACCACGTTGCGTATGAGTGACATTTATGCATACACAAAGCGCACACTTGAGGCCGCACACTTCAATCCAGCTCGAAGCACAGCTGGCACGCACAGTTAATTAATCTTTGGCATTTGATTAATGTGCGATTTGATTTGGGTTTGTCGGCCAACAGCAACAAACACTTCGCATTAGCTGATTTACAAGCTGCAACAATTCCCATGCCCATGCATAGGCCTTTAAGTCTTTAAGCCGCATGAACAAGAGCCCGCAAATTCCTAGCCCATTTTTTTTTATGGACAAACACTTTGCGTATCGACAACATTTCAGTTAACTGACGGGCTCCCGAACGTGCCCCACAACCAAATCAAAATCGAAAACCACAAAGCCATAAACTGATTTCTGGCTCAAATGAAGGTTGCGCCAGTCGAAGGCTGCCACAAAATGGTGGGCGGGGGAGGGGGGCGAGGCAGCTGCAACATGGCCGGAAACGGAGAGCGGCGGCAAATGACAATGGGCAAGGGATAACACAGCCAGCAGAGCTAACAAATGCCACAAAATAGAATAACAGCAAATAAAAGAAATTCAAGCTAGAAAATAAATTTAGGCGGTAAAAGAAATTCTGCAGAATGTTTCTGTCCCAGATTTGATACTCTGGCGAATTGCCTGTCTATTCTTTTGAGAAATTTCGTATCTCATTTATTAATGCGAATTTATGCGATGTTGCTAGGACTTGGTGTGGCCCTTAAGTCCCAAGTTTTGTCAAGATCGAGAAACAAATATGTTGTACATACAAAAACTGAATGTTAGACTGAATGTTCCCATGTCAGCTATCTGATATATAGTATTCGGATTCGTTCTACTCCAACACACAATCCTGCCAAGTTCCTTTTAGCTTTAAGCATCCAGCCCAATCTAGGAGTTTATATACTCTGTACCCTATCAATATATAGGTATTGCAAGTCCATGAAAAACTAGAAATTACAAAAAACCTTGTCAGCTTACAAGTATATCAGGTCCGAATGCTGATGCCGGTCAGGACTTTGAACCGCATGTCCTGTGGCCTGCTGCTCACTGAGCGAAATTAGCCAGGCAAATATGTCGCACTTAACTGCGAACGGAAGACGGCCAAAAAAGGCTCACAGAGATACCAAAACGGACACAAACGCACACAAACACACACACAGACGCAGACAATGTCCTGGCACGGCAATTGCCTGGGCCTAACGAGCGGGTGGGTGGTGCTTGGGTGGGCGGCATTGCGCCTCGTAATTGTTGACGTTTGCGCCTTTTTGCTGGTGGGCGTGTTGGACACTTGGTAGGGGGCGGGGTGACGGCTGCGGGGCATGCGGGCCATATGACACAAATGCGTCGAATTATTGTCAGATGAGGTCAGTGTCCCCGTCCCTGTCCCTGTCTCGAGGCTCGCTGTGAAAGTTTCACCAACACACACACACACACAATCACACACACACGCTCACACACAATCACACATTCTGTTACATTCTGACACTTTGGCGTTTTGTTTGCCTGCGCTCTCGGTCTATTATGAAGCTGGAAGTCAAGCAAATGTTCGCTTGAACATTGCCACAACAGCAACGGAAACAACAACAACAACAACAATTTGCAACAGCAACAACTTTCAACTTGTGGGCTTGTTACACACTTTGTGGCACACACACACTCCACAGATAACAACCATTGCTCATACGCCACGTGCCACCAAAAACCCCTTCTGAACTAACTTTTACAACTGTTGCCGTCATGAATAGTTGAATAGCGCACCAAGCATACCAAAAAATTTCATGGGAATTCCATCAAAAAATGTATATGTGACTAGCAGATATCCTGCTGATAGGCAGCTGCCAAGCAGCGCTTCTTCTTCCTGTCTCAGCGTCATATTGTGTGAATGTTATCCCGAATAAATCGTGTGTCTGTCATGTGATTACCGAGAAATTTAGAATGCCTAAAGAGGGTATTAAATTGTGGGTGTATACCAAAAACCAAGTCTATAACTCTTGGATTCCTCGAATGTAAGGTCATCGATAATTATCGATTTTTGGAAAATAGTCTTAAATCTGAGCTGCGCTTGGTATACGAGAAATCTTCTTCAAAAACTTAATCACTCCCATAGATAAAATTGAGCCTAGATACATTTCTACTTCAATATATTTTAATATTTTTATTAAAATACAATTATATAAAAATAATATTGTTATTATATTTATTATTATTATTATTATTATTATTATTATTATTATTATTATTATTATTATAATTATTATTATTATTATTTTTATTATTATTATTATTTTTATTTTTATTATTATTATTATTATTATTATTATTATTATTATTATTATTATTTTTATATTTTATATTTGCTTTAATTATTGCACTAGCCACAAGGCTCAGGCAGTTGCTCTCTTCTGCCTGTTACATGCATTCCCACAATTGTAATATACCCTTTTTTGCGCATTTACTCTATTTGTAGGGTATATTTATCAGTTATTGATAGCTAGCTTCACATAACTGAAACTGATTGCAAGAGCGCAATTCTATTAGTTCTTTATCTTTGGCTGCTTTCTCTACCTCCCTCCCTACCTCACCACCCCTTGCCTTCTCTTCCCCACAGCCACACTCTGCCTTTCCCAATTACTTTCTTTCTCTTTTCTCTTGCTCTGTTTCTCATGAAATATGAAAGCGCAGTGTAATTTATTCAGCTCGACCAACATGAAATATACACATTCAGTTTATGAAGATGATTGGCCACTTGCGAATGAGTGGGCGTTTGAACTGGGCGTGGTCAGAAGTCGCAGTTGAAGTTGAAAGTTGAAAGTTACAGCTGCGTTGGGGTTTTGTGCCGCATACAGATAAGCTCGGCATATTCATTTGCCAGCCGGACTCGTGTCATATGCCAGAGCTAATTGTGTGCCTTTTCCTTTGATTGTAAGATAGCGACTGCCACGCCTCCTTTGCTGACAAGCTGTTAAGTCGCCCGAATGTGAGGCTCGGGCCAATCAATAATTCATAACTGCACATTGACGACACGTTTCTTGGCAATAAAAAAATGAAAAGCAAAAGCGAAATGAAATATGAAAAATGGGAAATGTTGCTGCAAAATGCTCGACAATAATTTAGCGTGTCTGCTTCTGGCGCAGCCTGCTCCCAGGTCCAGGTTCTGCTCCTGGTCCTGGTCCAGCCTCAGCTCTTGCTGCTGCTCCTTGTCCTGCATCTGTTCCTGCCGCACACTTCTCATCGACCTGCTACTGAGCATGAACATGAAATGACTTTATCAATGCCAACTTCCTTCCAACTCGCGCTCTCATAAACTCACATACAGAAACGATTGTATATGCCACACACACACGCACACACAGATACACACAAACACATAGAACTATATCAAATGAATGTCATGCGCCAACATCGGCAGCAACTGTCGCACAATTTCTTGTTCACTTCCTTTTTTTACACCCTTGCGTTGGGTATGCCAGCTATGATGCAAAACATTCTCGGCCATATATTGACACAGATGGACATATATCTGATATCATATGTCACCATGAATCTTTCTCCCTCTTGTTCAATCATTTCCCGCCTGTGAAAATTGAATATAAATCCATGCTGCCTTGTAACCACATATCCAATCAATCTACAACGAGATTTTTCAATGTGTTCCCCCAATCCATTTGCTTTTGTATATTTTCATACCAAAGGCCCGTCTTTGGTTCATATCGCTCTTACGGTTTGAGCTGTGCCTTGTGGATCAATTAGTCAATCAATAAGTCTGTCAATCAGTCTCTAAAAAGTAGTTCTACATATGTGTGAAGATTATTTGCCATTATTCCTGCTTTTAAACAGACATAGCTTAAAAATAATTAAAGGGTATTCAATGTTCGGCTGACCAAAGCTAACTGTCCGTTCCGTTTTTTTTTTTTTATTTATTTGGCAATCATTTCTGCGTTTTTTTTTTCTCTCTTTCTGTCGATTATGTCGTGCGGCTCTGTGAGTGTCCTTTGATGTTGCGACGAGGCATGAAATATTGATGCGTATGTGTGTGTGCGTGTGT